TATATAGTCAATAAATAATAAAATAAATTACGAGTTAATAACCTTTTTTTTTTTTTTTTCTGAACGAAAACGAGAAAAAAATTTTAAATTTAAAAAAAAAAAAAGAAATTTTTTCTATTCCAAATTTTTTATTTATATATTTTTGTGTGTGATATAACTCACTGAACGACATTAAAAAAAAAAAATTTTGACTTTAAATTACGCCATCTTTTTTTTTTTTTTTTTTTTGACATAAATCTTATCAATTTTTTATTTAACCCGTTTTTATTTATTTATCTTAAATAAATCGTACGTGAAAACGTCTCGAAATTCAAAATTTATTATTAAAATCAAATGTATTTAAATTATTATTATTATTATTTCAGACAATCGCGAAAAAAATTATTATTATTATTATTACAATTAGACTTTGTAATTAAAATCGACGTGAATTTTACCGACATTTTTTTTTTTTTTTTTAATTATTTACGTAAACGATTATATAAATAAATTTCACGCAAAAGGAATCATCATCATCATCATCATCATCATCATCGTCATCACCACATCGAATTATTATTATTATTATTATTTTACAAAAACGACCGTTAAAAAAAAAAGGGCAAATTTTATTTAAAAAACTCGCGCGTTAATTTTTAAATTTTAAAAAACGAGTTAAACGACTTTTTGTCGTTTGTTTTTGTTTGTTTATAAAATCGTTTTTATTGTTATGAAAACAAACAACAAACAACAATAGTTAATAAAATTTTTATTTATTCGACGTTACATAAAATATTAACAATATGGAGACGATCGAAATTTATATTTTACGATTCGTAAGGAAAAAATTTTTTTTGCGAAATGTAACATACTCAAAAAAAAAAAATAATTATCCAGGTACGAAATGGTTCAAAATAATAATAATAATAATAAATCCTTTAAAAAAATGATTTACAATTTGTTACAGGTTTTAGGTTGTACCTTTCTAATTTAGTTTAATGTAATTCTTCTCGAGTGTTTTTTTTTTTTTTTTTTTTTTTTTAAATTATTAACAAAATGTCTACCCGTAAAATAATTACAAATAAGTAACCGACGACGATTAATTATTTATTTTGACGTTTAATTATTTTTTTTTTTTAAATGAGATCATAAATAAATGAATTTTTTTTTTTTTTTTTGAGTAATTTGTCGTCGTCTGGGGGTGAACGTGTTTTAAACTTTTAAAAACAAATTATTATTTAATTGAAAATCACTCACATAATGGAAAACACAATCCAGTAACCCGGTAGGGACCCGTCCCTTTTCACTAACACAACCCGTAATAAGATGAAACGTTCTTTAACAGGACACAAGGGAATGAAAAGAATTTATCCCGTTGTTTCCTGCTTTATAAATGGAACTCATTGTTATTATTATTATTATTATTATTATTATTATTATTATTATTATTACGTTTCTATGAATAACTATGTTTGTGTAAACAAACATAAGAATAAGTTTCTAAAACCTTCTTCTTCTTTATAAATAAACACTTTAATAGTATAAAATTATAAACGTTTGATCACGTGATCACAACAATATAAAAAAATTAACGAACGGTAATTTTTTTTTTTTCGTTTCAGGTACGAATGAAAAAAAGTAATAATATATGATTTTATTATTACGTAATAATTTCGAAAGAAGATGAAATATAAGATACGTGCCATCCAAAAAAAATTTTAAAGAAAAAAAAAAAAGGGGGGCTCTTGTGAAAATCGTTTTCTGTTTAAAAGGATTTACGTAATACGTAAGGGGGTAAGTGATAACATTAACATTATTTTTAATCTTATATAAAATAATAATAATAATAATAATAATAATAAATTCCCCGCTCGAATACAATTTTGTTTTCAACTTATCATCGTACGACAAAAAAAAAAAAAAAGCTAGTCTTACGTAAATGGAAAAAAAAGTTGTTATTTACCTGTTATAATTACCCTAATTAAAAATAATTACCTTATAATAATAATAATAATAATAATAATAATAATAAGCAGAAGCAGAAGAAAAAAAAATGAACGTTTTAACGTTTTGTTAAAAAAATTAAATTTACGTTCGAATAATTTTTTTTGTTTTTTTTTTTTTTTTTCAAAACGGGAATCTCTTTTTTTATTTATTTATTTTATTCCGATGATAATAATAATAATCGTGTATGAAGTGTAGGAGAGGTGGGACTGGTGGAAGGAGAGGTGGGAGGGGGGTAATAATTTTTAACGGTAATAATAATAATTTATTTTCTTAATCGGGTATTCGATAATTCTTTTTTTTGGTCTAATATGGTAGGTAATGGGATAATTAAAATTACGTACGGAATTATTTATTTATTTATTTATTTACCTTTTACCTTTTATTAACATTTTTTTTTTAAATATATATACTTTCTCTAAGAGAGTACGCGGCGTAACAATTTTTTTTTTTTAATAAAAATAAATTAAAATTAAAAAGACGTTCACTTTCGGTTTAGAAAAAGAAAAAGGAAAATCCCTAATTTTGATTTTCTTTCCTCACTTAATTCTTACGAAAATTGTTTTTTTGACGGTACATACATAAAATTTCTTAACATTTTTAAACAAATGTCAGATTTAATTGTTTAAACATTAAAAAAAAAAAAAAATGGCGCGGGTTAAAAGGATTTTTACATGCGCGGCACAATCTTTTATATATATATATATATATATATATATATATATATATATATATATATATTTATCCGTTTAAATTATTCTGTCGATGAATATAAATAATAATAATAATAAAATAATTTGACGTCACATTTCAAAGCAAAAAAAACAATCAAAACAAAAAAAAAAAAAAAAAATAGAAGAAGATAAATTATATTCGTACCTGTAGTTACGTTTACCATTCCTTTTGTTCCATTCATGATTTTTCCTTATTTTACGGTTTTCCTTTTTTAACAAAATTTTATTTCGTATTATTATTATTATTATTAATATTATTATTAAATTTAAAAAAAAAAAAAAAATATCAAATGAATCCAATGAATAAACTTCAACTGATTTAAGGGGAAAGTGAAACAAGTTACATGGAAGGCATTACTAAATCTCCTACCATTTCATTTTAGACCTGGTTAAGTTTTTTTTTTTTTTTTTTTTTTTCCACCTCTTATCCCAAAAAAATTATTATTATTATTTAACCCCCCGTACGTAATTTTTTCAAAAATGAGTAAAAATTTTTTATTTAATTAAATTTGAGCGGACCCCTTTTTTTTTTTTCAACAATGAAAAACGCGCGCTTTTGACGTGAATTTTTTTTTTATCATAAACAATAAAATTTAAAGTAAAATCCATATATTTTTATTCGTAATATGAATTACGTAAACAACGTTTCGGTTTTTTTTTTTTTACATTAGAAATCATTCTCGTTTTATTATTATTATTATTATCATTATTATTATTATTATTATAGTTAGTAGTAGTAATGAGAAAAAAAAAAAAAAACGAATTCAAGGTTTTTCCATATAAAAAAAATAAAAAAATCTAATTACTATGCACTAACGGGCGTACACTTTGTATTGAAAGATTCATAAAATTTATTATTATTATTATTATTATTATTATTATTATTATTATTATTATTATTATTATTATTATTATTATTATTATTATTATTATCATTATTTTAAAAAAATTTTTTAGTAATGGTTTTGATATGTGGTTTACCATCACCGTTACGGTTATCAGAGTGTCGCCATATTGTAAAAAATGAGGAAATGAAAAAACGTTAATAAATTTTTTTTTTTTACTCGTCGTTTAGAAATTCTTAACGCGGTTGTTGTTGTTGTTGTTTTTTCATTTCTATTATTTTTTAAATCAATATTGATTATTTATTATTGATTGATTGATTTTAGGGGTAATTTCCCCCCCCCCTCTTTTCGCTCGGTATATTTTTTTTACGTTTTGACAAATTGTGTGTTCGCGCTCTTGTTTAATATTATATAATAACGAGTTTAAAAATTTTGTGCTATTTATTTAGCAATCAAGTTTGCAAGTTATCTCTCTCTCTCTTTTTTATTAAGAGAGAGAGAGAGAGAGAGAGAGAGAGAGAGAAACTCACGACGTTATTACGAAATTTTTTTTTAGACGACAAAATTACAAAAAAAAAAAAAGACAAAGACCAAAAAAAAAAAAAGAGACAATAAATGACGATTTTTGACATTTGTTAATGAGTGACATTTACAAAATATTAATAATAATAATAATAATAATTTGCGTTTATTTTATTATTATTATTATTATTATTATTACAATAGGAAAAATAAAAAATAACACGATAATAATAAACTCGCTGACAACGTCACTTCCGTTTGAAAAATTCCTTTTAACGTTAGCCAAAGGAAATAAAAAATTACGAGTTGTAGGAGGCGATTTAAAAAATAAAAAATTTTTATTTTTTTTTTTGCCTTTTCTAATGTTTCGTCTGGTTCTTTGTTTAAATATCTTCTCACTCCGACAACGGCCGATTCGAAAAATTGATCGTAATTTATCGACGATATATCGAAATCGAAAAAAATTCTAAAAAAAAAAAAAAAAAAATTTAATCGTGAAATGGTTGATTTTTTTTTTTTTTTCCTTTCGTGACTCCCCTACCTGTCTTTTTCCGTTATCGACATTAATAATTTTTTAGTATTCGTACAATCGAAAAACCATTCGCGAAATATAAAAGGAGCGAGACGACATAGTGAATTATCAACTTTGCAATGTAATTTAAATAATCTAGAAAGAAATAGAAAGAAAATCTCTCGTTAAAATTGTTAAATTTTTTTGATTTAAATTTCACTTCTTTTTTTTTTTTTTGTTAATTATTACCTCGGTTTTTTTTTATTTAATTTTAATAACAAATCGAATATAATTCCTGGTAGAAAGTGTAGGAAAATTGTTGAAATTCTAAAAAGCGTGAAATTTCCATGAAGTTTTATCGTCGGATACCATACGGCCGACTTGAGTGGATAATTATTTAACATCCATTGAATTTTCGAATCGATTAATTTCCATTTGAAAGGTTTTATTGTCGATGATGTACAATGATACACGAGAGTTTTTTCCGGTCTAAATCAACGGGAAAAAGAAAAAATTAAAAAAAAAAAAAAAAAAGAATTGGAAAATTAACCGTTAATTTTTCGCGTATACTACACACCTCGTCATTCCTGCATACCATCCGGCTACTAAAATTTCATTGACAACCAAATCGACCGGTATGTAATCGTAAACTATGTTTCTATTAACCGGAAGCCTCCTTATGAGACCCATACTCGCACCCATGAAAAAACCATTTGGACCATTTTTAGAATCCGTCCAACCTGGTTCCGGTTCTCGTAACGCTCCGACGACTTTTACAACAAAAAAAAAAGAACGTTAAGTCATAATAATAATAATAATTTAAAACATAAATTTAAAGTTACGTAAAAATTTAATTTTGTTTTTAACGAAAATTGTACGATATTACGATTATTATTATTATTATTATTATTATTATTAAAAGTACTCACTTTGTGATGGTCTGACAATGGCGACAGAAAATTTTGACGAATATTCATCGACTTCGTGTTCGGCAAGTGCTTTCGATATCGTATACGCATTAACGTGTCCAAATTTCAAGCTGACGAAAAAGAAAAAATAATAATAATAATTTTTTTCTCATTCACAACAACAACAACAACAACCACAAAAAGATTTATTTATTTATAATACAAACAATTTGTCTAAAGCAGCGTTTGTTTCTTCTTCAGATAATTTCGATAACGATTCGTAATCGTTAAATTTGTACGGTTGTCCATATAGTTTTTCCAAAACAAAGGATTTATTCGAATTAACGTAAGCAGAAGAAACGTAAATAAACGCCTACGAAAACGTATACGAATAAACTCACATAATAATAATAATAATAAGAATGATAAATATTTAAAACAAACAAACAAACAAACGACAAACCTTTAGGCAACGAATTCTAGTACAAAAATCTAAAAGTCTTTTAGTTCCGATCAAATTAATATTAATAATAATTTTAGAATTTAATTCGAAATCTAATGCGGCCGCGGAATGTATAACGACGTGTACGTCATTTTCTAATATTTTTTCATCATTTTCAGAAAGTTGGAGATTTTTAACGCTGACGTCACCCGACACGGGTATCAATTTATTAAAAATATCTTGGCCTTTTTCACGTTTCAACCTTTCGAACACCTGAAAATCACATGCCAATCAATCAGGTAAAAATTTTACATTAAAAAAAAAAAACGTTTTAGAATAGTAATAATAATAATAATAATGATTTCGAAACGTTTCGAAAAAAAAAAAAGTATATGCGTGATACCATATTTTTTTTAACGTCGTTCAATCTCGAATGAATATTTTTCCCGCGTTTTTCTCTCATCAATACGTAAACGCGATTGACGTTCGTTTGTCTCAATAATTTTTCCACGATGGCTTTTCCCAGAAAACCCGTGACGCCAGTCACGAAAACGTTTTTATCATCGTAAAAATCGGAAACGGAAATTTGCATTTTGCAGAAAAAAATTATTCGGTTCTGGAACCAAAAATTAAAATTAATTACGGTTTTCTCTTTCCGACTTCCGGATTTGCTTCAAATCCCGGAAGTCAGGTATAAAAACGGTTATTAATTGAAAAAAAAATAAAAAATAAAAACGTTACTTACTGTCGTACTATCACGCACGTGTATTTTTACAAGATAAACATCCGTCACGTTTCAATCACGAATTAAAATTAAAACGATGATATGGAACCCCGATGAAAATATGAGGGGAGACACGTTAAACCGAAATCAGACATGGCGAAATCGTTTTTTTTAATTATTATTAACTTTTGTTTCGTCATTACGCAGGTTGTAAAATTACAAAAATTATATTTAATAATAAATTATTTATCCTCACGGATATATTATTTTAGGGGGCCCCTCCCCCCTCCCCTAGCCGGATAATATTCTTTTATACGTTTGCAATTTCTTTCTCAATATTTTTTGCCAAATAAATTTAAAAATTTTGTTTAATTTTTATCATCATCATCATCATTATTATTATTATTATTATTATTATTATTACTTTAATAATAATAATTTATTATTCGCAAGGTTTTTTTTTTTTTTTTTTTTTTTTAATAATCAAAAAGTTACTCAATAGTAATTTTCTACCTTCACACATTTTTTATTTATATTTAATTGTTTACACTTTATTTATTTATTTTTGTTATGAAAACCAAAATGGCGGAATTATTATTTTATTAATTAATTAATTATTGAGAAATTCTTTACTGGAATTTGGCGCAATTTTTTTTTATAGTTTATAGTACCCGGTAAATCGTAGGACGGATATATACTGTTATGGATCTAGTTCTTCGAGGAACTCGGTCTTGCTGATTTGTAGTATGCTCGCAGTTGATTTGGATGTTCAATATAATAAGTAGACAATTTCTACCTGATGTATTATATTAACCAAATATACTACTAGTTACACTACTTATCAGTAAAAACACTAAATGTAAAGTAAACGGAAATAGAATATGATGCTCTTGAATCCAACCTAAGATGCACTGACTGTCCCCAACGCTATGCGATAGACACAACCAGGCAGACTCTGACTGACGGACGGATGTCGAAAGAACAAAATGTGGTGCCGAGGCCCACTATTTATATGAAGACCAAAACAATCGATGCATCTGTTGCACTTGAAGAAGTTAATTAGTCAATCATCCCCTTCTTAAGGGATGAATATAATCCTTGCTCGTTAATCCAACTTAATGGGAAAAACGTGATCTTAGAACGTTGAGAGAACAAATAAATGTTCACATTAAATAAATCATATTAATATTAAACAGATGCCCTCGTTGGTGATCAGATTTCGTTGGGATCACAACAATACGATCGAAAAATTTAATTTTTGTTAAGGTGGCACTACTTTCTCAAATATCATTATCATTATTATTATTAACGTTTAAAAAAATTAATAATATTGACTATATGCTATAAATAATATAATATAATAAATCGATAATGACGAAAATTAAATGATTTTGTGACGTCACTTTTATTTTTATTATTATCGTTTTAGAAGTGGTGGTGGGGGTGGAGGGTGGATACACGTAAATTTTAATCTCATATAAGAAAACATAGATTCGAAAGGGGGAGGGGTAGGGGAGGAGGAGGAGAAATTAAAAAAAAAAAAAAAAATTTTTTGTAATGAAAAAAATATAATAAATTTATTTGTTTTTTTTATTTTTTTTTTTTACAGAATGCTAAACAATGCGTAAGTGATAGGAAGGATCCAAACGACCGACAACAATCCTTTGCCGCTTGCCAAAGAACCCAAATACCAAATGATTCCGAAAATGAGGGCTTGAATGAGGGTGTTAAATACGAAATAAATTTGCTGTTTCGTTTTCGCGCTCGGAAGAGTTTTCATCGTTTCGTTGTGAAGATACCTTCTCACACCTTTGACGAGATTTTCGAAAAAATCAACCCAAACCAACTTGGTTATGTCCGTATTGAACGTTTCTCTGTAAAAAAAAAAAAAATTATCGACAAATCGTGTGAGCGTGTCAAGAGTTTGTTTACAAACAAACAAACAAACAACAACAAACAAATGGAATCCTGTTTATAAATAATAATAATAATAATTACTACTCACTTATCGGATTCCGTTAAGGATTTTTGCAACGCTTGAGTTTTTGAATTGTCGTAAAACCATTCTTTAAATATGAAAGGTGCTAAACGATTCAACGATCTGTTTACATTTTTATGAAGTCTCACGAGCCTGAAAACAAACAACAAACAAACAAAACGTTTAAAAAGGAAGAGAGAAAAATAATAATAATAATGATAATAGTAATAAGAAACTTACATAGTTCGTCCGCCGGTCATTTTCAACATGAAATCGAAAAAAAAAGCCGGAATAAAATGAAAAATGATGGCGGAGATTTTAAAAAGAGTTAAATTCGGTAAAAGTTTCATAGTCGGATACCAAACGGCGGATTTAAGGGGATATTTTCTCAGGTAAAAATTTATTCTATTTTCGACGGACATCCAAGAGAATGGATTCGTCGTTGAGGACGTGCAATGGAAAATCAACGTTTCACGCGTTCTGGAAAAGAAAAAAAATTCAAAATTTCGCCAAACACGTAAGTTAAAAACAATTTTAACTTTTTTTTTTTTTTTTTTTACCTCGTTTTTGCCGCTTGCCATCCGGCTAAAATTAACGTGTTAACTACAATATCGACCGGAATGTAATCGTATACGAGTTCCTTTTGAACCGGAAGCCTTCTTATAACGCCTTTCGAGGCTCCCATTATAAATCCCTGGGGTCCATTTTTCGATATGGTCCATCCGGGCGTTGGTTCTTTCCAAGCTGCCACGACTAGAAAAAAAAAAAAAATTAAATTTTACGAAACGGGTTTTATTTATTAACGTGGCAGCAGATAGATACATATATGCACTCACTCATGCTCGGTCTAACAATCGCGGACGGGAATTTTTCCGCAGATCCGGCAACCTCGCGTTCTGCGAGAGCTTTTGTGATTGTGTACGTGTTCGGATGATTTCCTAAAAATCTGCAATTTCAAAATTTTTTTTTTTAAAAAAGGTACCGTACCGGATAATAATAAAACAAAAGGGAAATTTCCCCCCCTTCCCCCCCCCACGAATTTCCAACTAACTTGGGTTCCAATTCTTCGAGTGCTTCGTCCGATAGACCTTTTACCAAATTGATAGCTTCGTCAGGTTTTTGAGGTATGTCGTAAATTATTTCGTCTGCTGCATCGCGATTCGAATTGACGTACGCACTCGACACGTGCACCAATACCTGTTTCATTACATTACATTACATTATATATTTATAAATTTATAAATTTTCCATTCGAGAATAAATTATCGTACCTGGATATTTTTCATTTGAGTACAAAGTTCGACCACTTGTCGGGTTCCTAATAAATTTATCGTTACCGTCGGTCTTAAACCTGCTTCGAAATCCAAAGTTGCCGCCGAATGGAAAACGATTTGAACGTCGTTGACGAGATTTTCCCGGTCGGTTCCCGACAAACCCAAACCTTCTTCTCCGACATCTCCAGGTATGGCAACCAATTTACTAAAAGGCGCGTCCCCTTTTTCTTCTTTAATTTTTTCAAAGATCTAAATCGCGAACCAAAAAAAATTTAGTTTTTCTTACTTTGCCGAAAAAAAATAAAAATAAAAATAAAAATTCTCACCAAATTTTTTTTGAGTTCTTCCAATCTTTCGCTTATGTCCTTCCCCCTTTTGGGCCTCATGAGTAAATAAATGGTTTCAACGTTGCATGATCTCAATAATTTTTCAACGAGTGCGATACCCAAAAATCCCGTGGCACCCGTAACGAATATGTTTTTCTCATCGTAAAAATCTTTAACCGGACTATTTTCCGACGACATGTTTTTCCTTCGTTTCCTTCTACTAACTTAAAACTTAAAACTTTAAGGAAAAAAAAAAAAAAAAAATACGTTAAACAAATAACGAAGATGTTTGACCCAACCCCAATTACAAAATCATTCGATGGTTGAGTTTTTTTCTTTTAAAAATACTCGATGCAGAAAAAAAAAAAAAAAAAAAAAACCGTTGGAAGTAAAATCGAATATTACCCACCCTGAGGCTAACAAATATTTTTTTTTTTTTCTTATTTTACCATTTATATGACGAAATTTTCATTCTTGGGCAAATTGTCGCCGCCGCCATTGTAATAACGGAAATGAAAATTTCTACTCCTCGCCTATACATATATATATATATAAATAGTAAAAAGAAAAAAAAAAGATCTAACGAATAATTTCCTATACGTAACAAAATTTTTTTTTTTTTTAAATTGGAAAATACCATTTAAAATTAGCTCGAATGTTACCTTCGATTTCATTTGCAAATAAATGCGATACACTGTTAACGAAATAATAATAATAATAATAATAATAATAATTTTAATGGGAAATAATATTTAAAAACTCGTCGTCCTATACACGTTCGATAATGAACTATGACGTCATAATTTTTTTAAAAACGATAAAAATCTCAATATCCGTGTATGTTTTAAGGTTTGTCCATCCACAACCATAAACGTTTCAATGTTTACACGAATGGAAAATTTTTTTTTTTTTTTTAAAATTAACTATAAACCGAAGCAACAAACATTCTTTTTCCAGTTAATCTGGAATAAGAATGTAAAAGAGAGGTCGACGACCTTTAATTAAACGTATCTTTCAGGTACATCTCTTCTCGACGTTTTACACACGCAAAAAAAAAAAAGGCGAAAAAACGTACCTGATTAAACGAATAGAAGACATTTCTTCATCTTTTCTCGAAATACATAAATAAAAATAAATAAATAATAATAATAATAATAATAACCGATGCACTAATTCAAGTCACAACAAAATAAATTTGTTACGTGATACGAAATCATTATTAAATATTTTTTTTTTATTTTTGTTTTTGTCGGAATAACTTGTGTAAAAACCGAAATTTTATAATGAGTTTCCCCTCTCTCTCTCTCTCTCTCTCTCTCTTTTTCTCTCTCTCTCTCTCTTTCTCTCTCTCTCTCTCTCTCTCTCTCTCTCTCTCCTCTCCCTCTATCTCTCTTTCTATCCCTCTATCTCTCTTTCTATCCCTCTATCTCTCTCTCACTTTTCATCATAAAAGGACGACCGGTTCTGTTGTTGATCCTTTTAACGTCATAATAATAATAATAATTGTTTGACGTAGAAATGTTTTTTAAAATTTGGCTTAAATCCCCCACACAGGTAAAAATATATATAACTAATTTATTATTATTATTATTACTATTATTTTTTTTTTTTCAGTATATAAATAATGTGGATGGATAGAAGAGAAGATTATGAAACTAGTAAAAGTCCAAGGTTACAGGCACTACACTAAATCCTAGTGTACCTGTGGCACTGTGTAAAACCACAGGTAATTATTTTTCCAATAATAATAAATAATCCAGAATATTAATCAATTTTTTTTTATACCTATATAAATAATTTCTTCCTGGTTCTACACAAAAGAAAAAAGATTTCAAATAAAATGGAAAAGTAAATTTTATATATAAATTTTATCGAGTTGGCTACACTTAACTTATTCTACATAATTTAAAAAAAAAAAAAAATAATAATAATAATTAACTTCGACAAATGAGTTTTCTAACTCGTTAACAGTATTTTTTTTTCCTTCTTATATTTTCAACAATTTTGTTCAAAATTGTTATTTTGTGTTTTTTGGCATAAAAAATGCTCATAAAACCAACTCCCAAGTGAATTTTATTTAATTTAAGGTAAAAAAAAAAAAAATGTTTTCGAATGAAATTTATGAGATTAAAAACATTAACGATAATGATTTGTAAATGTAAATGTTCATCGATGAAAATCAACCAACAGAAATGCATGAGGAGAAAAAAATTGTTTTGTAAATTTGAAACTAATTAATAATAATTTGAAAACCTTATAAATTATTATTATTATTATTTATTGAAATAACAACAAGAATTTGTCAATTTTTTCTTGTTTTAAATAGAAAATCATAGAATTTTATAATTTGGTAATTTTAAATCTGAACCACCATTGAATACTTGGGCATAATCAAAGTTTGTAGTTATAAATACATTTTAAATATTTAAATTTCATATTTAATAACTGAAATTGAAGTTTATTATAATAACAACTAAGTGATAAAAAAAAATGATAATTTGTTCATTAATTATTAAGTGTTCATTAGAAAACAGGGGAAAAAAAAAAAAATTATTTAATTCATTAAACTTACTTTAGGTAAACCATACTTTGAAAAATTATTTATAAATGTAAAAAATAATAAACAATTACCTGGAACGAAATCAATCAATCGAAAAAAAAAAAACAATTTAAAAAACTTTATGATTAAATATTAAATGTAAAAGTAACTGATTTTCTTCATTGATGAACCTGCCGTCTAAGATTTTTTTCAACTGAACACTTGTAACTGGCAAATTCAAAAACAAACCGGCTTTAATGGCGTGATTATTTGATTACGTAGTACTACGTTAAACAAATGACAAACTTTAATAATTACTTTATTATTTTTAAGTAATTTTGTAATTTCAATTATAAAATTCTTTCTTCTTTTAAATTGTTATTTTGAATTTGCATTAATTTTTTCTGACCTGGTAAAAATTTAATAACGTTAAATGATGAAATTTTTTTTTAGATAATTATTCATATCTAAGAATTACAAAACCTTTTTTTTTTGATATTATCTATGAAGTAAATTTATAATGCAATAATACGTAAATAAAGTATGATTTTTTTTTTTCTTTCTCTAAATTATTCATTTTTAATTTGTGTTGTTGACTTTTGAAAAATATTTTTTTTGTTCAAATCTTATTAGAGGACAATGATTCTTCATTGTATTAAAAAGCAAAATTTATATATATTTTTCAAGTCGATAAATCGATTACAAAGGACAGGTTTTATTTATTTATTTATTTATTCATTTCTGAGGCTTAATGGAATATTCTTTTTTTTTTCTTTTTTGAAAACTTGTTCGTCCTGAGGCAATAAAAAAAAAAAAAAAACGTCAATGACGTAAAACATAAAATAGATAAAATTTTTAATAGATTTTAAGTTGGTACCACTGTTTACCTCAACGATTTTACGCGGGATACCAAGTTCTTTCTCTTTTAAAAAATGGCGGACCGATCATGTCTTGTAAGTTTTTCTAAAAAAGAATTATTACTTTTTTATGGTAAATTTTATCGTTTCAAAGTATTTTGAATTAAAAAATGGTTAGGAAAATGATTTTATGTTTTGAAATGTAATTTACTTTAACTAAATATCATTATTAATTATAACTTTTTTATACTTAATAATTTTTAATTGCACAGTAGCATTCTGAGGAATGTTCTAGAAAAAAAATTATTAGTATTGGCAAGAAACCGAAAGAGATTGAATAGAATTTGGTAAAAATTGTTTATGAAAATGTATTTAAATAAAGTAATCAATTATTTTTTAATTATTTGACAATATATATATATATATATATATATATATATATATATATATATATAATAAGATTTATACAAATTAAACAATGATATATAATTCATATATTCATTATACTGAATATAATTCAGTCATTAATATAAATCAATATTGCAAAAAGTATATCATGAAAAAAAAATGACTGATTTTTTAAGAAAAAGTATAACTATTACAATTTTTTTTTATTAAAATTACTTTTTTTTTTATATTTTCATCAATTTTACTTATTTGAAGAAAAGAAACTCTATATACATCTTCTAAACATCTACAATTTTATTTTAAAAATAAATTAATCATTTATAAAATATGTTAAATAACTATAATTTTTATAAAATAATTAATTGTATTTAATAATAAAATCAGTCTTTATATTACAATAAGATAACTTGGGCAATTTTTTAAATAATAATTCTACAATATGATAAAAACTAAATGAGAAGTATATATATATGTGTATATAAATTAGTACCTTATATACCTTGTATATAAATTAGTAAACCTTGACCTGATACTGTATATACATTTGATTTATTTAAAAAGTATAAAATAAAAAGGTTTTTTTTTTAACATGCTTATATAACATGACATAATAATTATTTATTTAGCATTGCTTAACTTCTTTTGATATAATAAAAAGTTATTGTAATTTGAATTATATTTTTATAGAAATTATATTTCATTAACTTTCCATCATCTTCTGATTAAGCATATTTAAAGCAATGCATTTTTGAGTTTTTCTATTTTATTATTAAGTGTTTTAAAAAGAAATTTGACTAATGATATTTAATTGTTACTGTTTAAGCAAACATACTATTTAAGTAAATACTTAAATTGTTTTTTTTTTTTTTTTAGCTTTTGATGTATTTTGTAATTGACAATTGTTACAAAATTTGTTAAACATTTCAAAGCCAAAATATTAATGCAAATGTGAGAGCAGCACCAACAAAGGCAGTTAAAAACTGTACACCACAGGTGAGAAGTAAATAAAATACAAAGAGAAATCCTCCAAAGTATAATCCATAATGAACGATTTTAAGCCTAAAAAGTAAAAAAATTTTTTATTGTTAATCTAATTTAAAAAATTGTTCAAAAATAACAAATAATAATAATAAACAATAAAATATAGAACAAAAAGTAGCTCACAGAAAGTCCAAAAATAAATAAGCAATTGGTTGAGAAAGTATAAAAGCATTTTAAATCGTATTTTATTTTTTTATCATTTTAAATAATAATTATTTTTTAAATAGATTAACAATAATAAATTAAACTTACATTTTAATTAAATTTCTAGATTTTTCTATTGTCTCGGGATAATCTCCATGATAGAAATGTCTGACTCCCAAAACACATTTTTCCAAATATTTGGGCCAATTAATTCTTTTCACGTCAAAATTAAATAACACTTTATCTTGTTCGGATAAATCTTCGGCTAATTTTTTAGTATTTTTCGTGTCGAAATACCAATTTCTAATTGTGAAATAATGAAGAAATTCCATGCCACGTATGAATTTTTTATGGTACGAAACAACACTGAAAAAAAATATTATTTTTTAAATTATTTTGTTTTATTAAATTAATAAATTTTTAATTTTTTTTTTTTTTTTTTGTTTTAGTTTTCCATTTTAGCTTAGAGTCACTAATACTAGAGTTTCAAATTAAGTTTCATCTTGATAGAAAAAAAAATTAAATTATAATTGTATGTTTATATATATAAATAAAAAAAAAAACTCATCCACTTGAAAAAAAAAAAAAAAAAGAAAACTTTCAACATTGTGTAATTCAATTTTGAAGAATTTGGTAAGCAAACAATAATTTTTTAATTTGAGAGTCAACCGTGTGTCTTTTTTTTTGAGCACAGACTTTTTCTTACTCTTTGGTAATTGTTTTTTTATTTACATTTTATTGCAAAACTTTAATTGACATTTTAAATGTGAAGTTTAAGTTTATTATTCGAAGAAGAGAACGTGTTTGTGTGTGAGAGAGAGAGAGAGAGAGTACAATAAACTATTAGTTATCATTCAATGAAAAAGATTATGCAAAAACTTTTCCTTTGTGTACACATCATTTTAAATAAATAAATAATAAATTTGACTTAGAGAACATATTGTTGTTTTATAAAGAATAAATATATACTTACGGTCTATTTTTTGCAGTGTATTTTTCCCAAGTCGTCGCTAGAAGATATGCCGGAAGTAAATGAAATAAAATAACAAAAATGTAATTTCTTATTAAATTAAATCTACATTTGGCTCCTGGATACCATAAAACTTCAGAGCAGGGAAATTGTCGTACTTTTTCAATTGTCAAATTACAATATTCGTTTAACGTGATTGGATTATCCGATCCAGAAGTACAGTGATAAACTTTACAGCTTCCTTTTCTGAAAAAAGAAAAAATTATTATTATTATTCGAGTGAGTTTTGAAATTTTTAAAAGTTTTTTTTTTTAATTTTTTTATAACAAATGCAATTACCCTAGTTTTGCTATATCCCAAGCTGTTGCGATCGACAAATTCGCGACCATATCGCATGGCACAATATCAGAAATTTTATTATTATCTCCTAAAACCGTTCTGAATATTCCCTTTCCGGCTCCTGCAATGAAAGCAACTCCACCATTTTGAACATTTTCAACCCATCCTGGAAACGGTTCGTCTAACGTTCCTAAGACTAAAACAAAAATCAATTTTAAAGATTTTTCTTAATTTTTTTATCAATGAAAGAATCAAACTACTTTGCACGTGCAAAAAGAAATATTAATTGTAAATTTTGATGCTTTGTTATTATTATTATTATTATTATTATTTATAAATAATAATGTAAGTTATTACGTATTATTTTTAGTAGAAACTGTGAAGAGAATGTCGGAAAAATTTGAAGATCTTTTGAAAATTATAGGATATCAAAATAATAATAATTAAAATAATTTCAATGATGAAAAAAAATAAACATGCCATTCCGGAGAAGAAAATCAGTCAAGGTCATATTATTTAAGTATAAATTAAATTATTAAAACAATGATTAACATTTAAAAAAAAAAAAAATTAAATGATGGTAACTTACTGACAGAAGGTCGTACCACAGCCAAGGGTACAGATTTTCTTTTTTTATATAATAAATTTTCGCACATGTGTTTCGTGAATGAATATGTTGTAGGGTAACCTCCTAAAAATTCTTTTGTCTGTACAGCAATTTCTTCATCCGACAATTTATTCATTTTTTCGATTAGTTCGTCACTGTCAATCCATGACGGATAAATATCTTCAGTGGTAACACCTCTCACAACAGCGTTACAATAAGCAGTCGAAATATAAACAAACGCCTAATAAGAAAAAAAAAAAAAAAAAAACATTGAAGATCCACGACGTGAATACCAAGTACTCTAAAAATTTATTTATTTATTTTTTAAATTTTTACCTCTAAATTTTTCATGTCTTGAGCTAACATAAGTACTTTTTCCGTTCCTTGTAGATTAATAGCAACCGCTTGACGTAAATGAGCTCCGAAATTAGTTGTAGCTGCCGAGTGAAAAACAATTGACACTTCATTTTTAAGCGTCGTTTTATCTTCTTCTGAGAGCCCTAAATCCGGTGAGGTTATATCTCCTTCCATAAAAATTATTTTTTCTTTTATAAAATCAGAACGAAGCCGGCTAAAAAGCTAAAATTAAACATAATTACCCTAAATAAGAAACCGGGATACAAACAAGTCGTTCGAGTGAACCGTAAACGTTAATTTTAAATTGATATCACAAAAAAACAGGATTTCATCGAAAATCTTCATGACGTAAATACATTTTCAAGTTCTCTTTTAATTATTCGAATAATTAATAATTAATAAAATAAATAATTTTTCTAGGTTATAGTTTAAATTATAATTTATTAAACATTAGTGTGCGTTATAAAAAAAAAAAAAAGTTACGCGATTAAAACGGTTAATAAATAACATTTACGTCACTCAAAACCGTTAATAAAATTAATTTTTTATCATTAATTAAGTTACTATAGTTATATTATTTTAATCACGTGGTATAAAATGGTAATTATTACAGATGGCAAAAGACGATTATTGATTATTTACTTACCTTGGCATCGATTAATTTTTTAAATCTTTCTTCAACGTCGACACCTTTTTTTTTCCGTATTAATAAATATATTTTTTTAATTTCAGGACAACCTCTCAAAAGTTTTTCAACTAGTACACTTCCGAGGAAACCAGTGCTTCCCGTTAAAAAAACACTTTTCCCGGTAAAAAATTTTTGAATCGGACTATCTTCCTTCATTTTATTATCACTTATTATTATTGATTCGTTCATTTAAAAAGAAAATCAACTGAATTATAAAAACGCTTTTTATCGATAACGACACTAATAAATAAACGAAGGTAAATAAAAACAAATTTTCTTAATGTAACTTATAACTTAATGCTTTGTGAAAGACTGACTGAATTGTTCTCTCATCGGTAGATAAAGTTTTCTTTCCTCTGAGAAAATGGTAGGAGTTTGGCAAATGAGAATTATCCCCACTCCGAATTACCGGTCCCGGTACTCCTACTACTACTACCACTGCAGGGATGTTTCTCGGTAAAGGCAAGTATTTTAAGGTTTTTTCAATAAATATTTACGCATAAAAAAAAAAAAAAATTTTATTTTATTTCCTGAGATATATTAACATATTACAAAAAAAAAAATTAATTAATTTTTTTGTAGTTTTGAAATTAGTCTTTATAATTTTCATCAAATAATACGTAGACATTTTTTTTTTATTAAATTAATTTTATAATATTTAATTAATAATTTGAAAAGTCGTTAAGGTTTGAAACTTTAGTGACACATTTATGAGATTTTAATTCAAATTCTTATCAAAATTTAGTATCAGATTTATGAGAATTGGATATGGTTTGAATGAAAAAAAAAAAAAAAAAAAGAGAGAGAAGTTTTTATATCAACAAAGAAAAACTTTACGTCAACAAAAACCATGATAAAAATTCAACGATAAAATGAAAGCTGAAACAAGAGGTTGGAAATTATTCCAGTTTTTGTAAGAGAACTGGAAAGTAGTACGAAAAAAACTTTAAAAATAAATCTTGCATGATTCCGAGGAAAAAAAATTCAAAAAAAAAAAAAAAACGTAAAATTCCTTATAAATAATAATAATAATTTTTTTTTTAATTTCAGGTTTGAATAATTATTTAACGTTAATATATATTAAAAAGAAAAATTTTACTTAATGTTTGAGATTTCGAGAACAAAAAGGAATAAAAATAAACGAAAATCTACAATTTGGAATTGTTCGGGTATGGAATCATTTTAATAAATATTTATTAGTAAAAGTAATCGAAGTGAAAATACGAGAAAAAAAAAAAATTTTTTTTAAACGTATTCAAAATTCCCCATTTAAAGTTTAGTTTTACATACGACAAGAGGACATTGACATGAGATGTACTGGAGAATATTTTATTAGTGGAAAATTTTTTTTTTGTGGTTGAAAAATGCTCACGGCATTTTATTCAGTAATAATTTTTTTTAACGTTCGTTTTTATTTCTGCTACGTGCAGTTAAAAAAAAAAAAAACATGTACGATGAAGTAAAATTTCGTATGAAACAATTAATCGATTTTTATAAAATCTTGTTTTTTTTTTTTTTTTTATATAATTCATAGAAATTGAACAATGAAAAATTCCTAAATGCATTCAGTTTTTTTTTTTAATTACAGTAATAAAAATATAATAATTTTTATAATTTTCTATTCGATAATAATAAGAAAATTACTTGAAACATTTTCGTTAAAATAATTTTTTTTCGATTATATAAAAAGAAGAATCGATGGAAACATGTTAAAAAAAATTTACTCATTTGTGGTTTTTTGTAAATAATTTTAAATTTTTTAAACAAGTTTTTTTTTTTTTTTTTTCAAGTATAAACGAAACATTGACTTTTAATAACCTAAACGAAATATTATAAATTTGTAATATACGGAAAGACCTTTATTGTTTATATTTTTTTTATTTTTATTTTTCAGGTATACAAATAAATAAATTATTACAACAGTTGAAGGCGAGTTGGATAGAAAAAAAAAAAAAATTTTTTAACGGAAACATAAGGAATAAGCACCGATTTTTAATATTAACCGTAAGTTTTTTTTTTTTCTAATAAAAAAAAATGAATTTAATGAATTCGGTCAGTCAAAAACAATATTAGAAAAACATTTTTTTATGAAATTTTAAGTATTTTCTAACTTTCTAAACACGGCCTAGAAACAAGTCATTTCCTGACACAGGAAATCCAAACATAATTTTAAAAACTATCGTGCTATTTCGAATCGTGAATGATTTATTTTTTAACATGTTTCGATTTACAACAAAAAGTTTTTATTTGAAAAAAAAAAACCAATGGAAAGTTAAACAAACGACGTGTAAAATATCACAAATACAATTTAAATAGTTTGACTAAAGGGGATTTCCCCTACTCTTCATCGTTCCCCAATTACGAAAAATTAATTTTTTTTTGAAGGTCAATGGTGATCCCCCGCATTTATAGGAAAATCGGGAAATTACAATGACGTAAAATGTAAAACCTGTATTTACGTTATCCGAAAACGTTCGTAAATTTTTTTTTTCTTACACCCATTAAACCTGTTTTAGTTTTTAAAAAAATTTTTTATTGACTGAATTAAAACAGGATACGATTAAATAATGTTATCAATTATTTTTAATTAATTAATTAATTCCAGTAAATAAATAAAATAATTAATAATTCGTATCATCGCTCGATTCGCTTTCATCTTTTAGGTAAAAATTTGTTAAAAGGAATTAAATTTGGTCAATGACAAACAAACTCGTAATCAATTCAAAAAAAAAAATTTATTATTATTATTATTTTTATAAATTTAATGTCTGGAGAAGTATAAAAAAAAAGAAAAACCTTGAAATCGAACGAGGTAAATAACTTTTTCGATTTTGTTTTTTTTTTAAAGTACTTCCAGTAAATAAATAAAAAAAAAAAACAATTTTTTTCCATTTTTTGCAACGAACCATTACTCACCAATTCGGTGAGTTTTTTTTGTTAATTTAATTAAAGTAATATAAAAGCAAAACTAATAAATGTAAAAATTATGTTATTAAATAAACACATGGATAACCTTAAAAATATGATTAATCAAAACAAAACAAAAAAAAAAATTTTATTAAATTTTTTGTGTTAAGCTTTTTAAAGTTGGAGAAAAAAAAAAAAAAAACCTTGAATGATTTTTTTAAAAAAAAAATTTTTTTACAGTAATAATAATAATCATTTTAATTTTTTCAGAACGATGATTATTGATGAGAGAAGATTTACATTTATCCAAATTTTGAAAATTATTACATAAACGCACACAGAAAGAAAGAAAGAGGGAAAGAGAGAGAAATCAACGGTTAAAATTTATCATTCGAGTAAGTTTAAATTCATTTTTAAGTAAATTTAAACAAAAAAAAAAAAAGTTTAATTTGTTATTTATTTACGCGTTATTCGAAGAAAAAATTGTTTTTTTTTTTACTCTATGACAAATAGATTTAATTATGAATTCGTTCGTCGTGTAAAATTATGAAATTCTTATGAACTAATTTTTTTTCTTATTGAGTCATCATCATCATCATCATCATCGTAATCATAACACGAGATTTAACGTGGTTTTAAAAAAAGTTTAGGATTAGATATGAAAGGGATTAAAACGAAAAAAACAAAGTAATTTTCTTTGTAATGTGTTAGTTCTGTCATCTTTTTTTTTATAAACAAATTCATTTTTTTTATACGTTATTAATAATTCCTTGAAATGATTTTTTAAAAGGGTAAAAAGTAATGACGCGTATTTTAAATAACGAATTAACATTGACTTTCGATTTTATTTATTTATTTATGGATTTTCAATGTGATTTTATATCCTTTTAAACTTTTTTTTGAAAAAAATTCTAGGATCGAACCGTGGTGTTTGTTTTGTACAAAAAAAATTTAACGTGTTTTAGGTTAATTCAATTTTTTGTTGTTGTTGTTGTTGTTGTCGTGAGTAAAAAAAATTGCCTGGAGTGATTTAAATCAACGGAATTTAATTCATATTCGAAACAGTAAGAAGTTTAATTAGGTAGAATTTTCTTCTTATCAGTCGATAATAATAATATAGTTTACGTGTATATTGACGTAATTGATTTTTGATTAGTGTGATCACAAACGAATTTTTTTTTCTTTTTCCTCCATATTATTAATCCAAAATTATTGACAGTTTGGATTTGTTTGATTCTTCGATATTTTCGGATTTACCGGGGGGGCAAGTGGGTGAGGGGTTTAAAACGTGATCATTTATATTTTTGACTTACGTGATTGGATTGCGGTTAAAGTTTATAAAATTACATAAAAAAATTTTTTTTTTAATAAATGAGTATGTAAATGATGACTTCTTCAAGAGTAGTAGTAGTGGTGGTGGTGGTGGTGGTAGTAAAATTTTACGATTTTGGTAATTCTTTCATTCGTAATGAACTATTATTAAATTATTGAAACAATTAAAAAACGTTTTATTCGCTTTTTACAGTGTTAATTAGTCACGATATTTAATTTAACGTCGTTATTATTTCCAATAAGGAATAATATTTATTTATTTATTATCGATTAAATCATATTTTCATGTGTTTGTTGTTTGTTGTTATTCTTCTGCTTTGCCAAAAGGTTTTTTAAAAAACAAACAATTTTGTGTTTGTTTTTTTGTCTCTCTCTCGGGTGAATCAATACGAATTAATTATATTTAATTTGTTTTAATAAAAATTATGTTTTACAGGAAATCCGAATCAGAAACACAAATCGATTTAAATTTTGTTCCAATTATTTAATAATGATGATTATTGCGTTGAAAATCACAACATGTGTTAATAAAAATATATTTTCAAATGGTCGATAGTCATCATTCACTTCTCAATCGTTTATTGCATTAAATATAAACAATTTAATGAATAATTTAAATGCGAATATAATCGAGGTTTTATTTATAATATGAAAATGTCGGAAAATTATCACCTTACTCGCGGAAATAAACCTTACAATATCACCTTATTATTGATGGAAACATTTTAATATCAAGTATATAAGGGCCATGATAATAAATTTATATTTGAATTTTTATGCATTTGACATTATATAAGGTTTCGCCCCCGTAAAATTTCAATGATAAGTGCACTCCTCCCCTCCCCCCCAAAAAAAAAAAATTTATTAAATTATTAATTTTTTGTTTGTTTTTTCAGGTGCAGTAGGGAAATCGAAACAAAAGGAAAAAGAGAAATTTGGAGTTTCGACGACACACGTCATTTCGGTAAGTTAATATTTATTATTATTATTAATATTTCACCGTATTGTTTGTTAAATTCAACGAAAGCAACTTTGTTGTTGTTGTTGTTGTTGTTATTAATTATCGGTCGATACGAGAGAAGAAAGAGAGTGGAAATAAAAAACAAGTTATGACGTAGATAAAAATTTAAAAAACCATTCGTATAGTTTTCGTCGGGGGGAGGGGAGTGGGGAACTTGATGAACGTCATAAAAAAACAACTTTTTATAAAAAAAAACGAAAAAATTGTTTTTATGATGCGGCATGAGATCAACAACATTTGACGTAAATAAAAAAAAAAACCTTTCGGAAAATTTTATTTATTTATTTATTTCCGAGAAATTTTAATTAAATCAATTGTTTACGTAATTATATATATAATAACGATTCGCGCCATTTTTAATATTTCGTTCAAAAAAAAAAAAAAAAATTAAATTGAAATTTAAAAATAAATAAAATTTTTTTTCAATCATTATTATTATTATTATTACTTCACATTTGAAATGCTTAGAAAGTTAAACGTTATTATTATTATAACAATTGGATAGGAATAATAATAATAATTTACTAACGATATATTTTAATTTAATGTATATATTTTTATTATATATTTTTTTTTAATTTCAAAACATTAAAATAAAATAAAATAAAATAATAATAATAATAATAATAATAATAATAATAATAATAATAATAAAATGGCATTTAACAATTTTCGTTTTCTAATGTATATATATATATATATATATATGCATTTTCTACGTCACAATTACAACCGGAAGCGTAGGTCTCGCGTAAATAAATTAAATTAAAATTAAATTAAAATTAAATTAAAATTTTTTTTTTGTCAATTACAAATTCACAACCAACATTTCAATTTAAATTCGAAATATAATATATATATATTAATTATCTAAATCAATAAATAAATAAATAATAATAATAATAATAAATAATAAATATCTTTTTTCCCCGTTCGCGTAAATAAACAACGAAGGATTTCGTTTGTTTGTTATTGTTTGTTGTAACTATTAAATAATCTACTTAAAAGACGAGTCAATTGTATAATAACAACCGATTAGTATTTTAAAAACAAAATCTTTGGTTCGGTTAGAATTAAATAAACAAAAAAAATTTTTTTTAATAATAACGACTCGTCAAATTTTAATTATAATAATAATAATAATAATAATCAATCAATCGAATAATAATTTTATATACCATCTTTATTATTATTATTATTATTATTATTATTATTATTATTATTACTTCATCAACTACAATATGCATTTTATATATAATATCATTAATAATAATAATAATAATAATAATAATACTGGATACATTACCGTATTATTTTATTGCAAATAATATATATACATATTATTATATAAACGTAATATGTATATATTAAAATAAAAACAAAATAAAATTATATAAATATAAATTCGGGGTATAAAAATTAAAACAAAATCGTCACGGTTTTTTTATAACAACAATTATCGCTTGTATATATATATTAATATAAATAATAAATAATAATAATAATAATAATAAATAACTAAACAAAACGATAAACAAAATATAAATAAAAAAAATATAAAACATATAATATGTATATATATATATATAAAACATGAGAAAATTTGTAATTATTCCACGTGATTTTCCAGGTGATTCCATTTTAACGGTTTATTTGGTTTTTTTTATATTTTTGCATATAATAATATAATATTATTAGTATAAACTAATGAATTCATTTATTAATAATTTATTATTATTATTATTAACTAAATAATTTTTTTTTTTTAATTTTATTTGTAAATACTAAATAAAAATCAATAATCTATAATAAAAAAAAATATATCTACAATCGATCGATCGAAAATCAATAATTAAATATTTTTTTTTACGTTTAAATTCGTAATAATAATAATAATAATAATAATAATAATAATAATAATAATAATAATAATAATAATAATAATAATAATAATAATAAATTGAATAAATGATCGTTTGTGATTTTATAATAATAATAATTAATAATATTTAAATCGTGGCTATATGAAACTAATGATAAATAAATAAAAAGTACAACGAATAATATCGATAAATATCGATAAGTATCGAAAAAAAAAAAAATTTGCTTTATTATTTATTTAATTATTTATTTATTTATTTTTTTTTTTTTGATATTAATAAATTAAAAACCTTTTCTTTATAGAAAAGAATAATAAAGCAAAATTTATAGTAAAAAACGATCGACTCAATTTTTCTATTAAACTTCATAGAAAAAATACATTAAAATTTTTTCAATAAGTTTTTCTCATTAAAATCATTCACAATCATCGATTAATAATTAATTACTTTTAAAAATTCATTTAAATAAATAAATAATAATAATAATAATAATATATTTAAATAAAAATAAAAACAAAAAAAATTGCTATATAATCAATTTTTAGGGCAATCAATAAATTTAAATAATAATAATAATAATAATAATAATAATAATAATAATAATAATAATAATAATAATAATAATAATAATAATAATAATAATAATAATAATAATAATAATAATAATAATAATAATAATAATAATAATAATAATAATAATAATAATAATAATAATAATAATAATAATAATAATAATAATAATAATAATAATAATAATAATAATAATAATAATAATAATAATAATAATAATAATAATAATAATAATAATAATAATAATAATAATAATAATAATAATAATAATAATAATAATAATAATAATAATAATAATAATAATAATAATAATAATAATAATAATAATAATAATAATAATAATAATAATAATAATAATAATAATAATAATAATAATAATAATAATAATAATAATAATAATAATAATAATAATAATAATAATAATAATAATAATAATAATGATAAGGAAAGAAAAAAAAAATTAGTAAAAAATTCCCTATCGGTTTTTTTTTTCTTTCCTCCTTTCTCTCTCTTTTTTTTTAAATTAATTAATTAAAAAGAGGTTTATTGAAATCAATCAATGGCTAATCGATTAATTAATTAAATAATTAATATGAAATTGAATAATGCGAATCAATGTTTTAAATACGATGATGATAATAATAATAATTATTATTATTTATAAATACGAACCTAATAAATATATATATATATAATAAAATTTCCTTTTAAATAAGGATTTTTTTTTTGAATACTAAAACATATTCGTTAAAAAATTTTTTTTTCTTTTTTTTTTTTCTTTTATACGTGTCTGTATATATATATTTATATATAAAGCAAATTATCATTATCATTATTATTTAAATTTTTTTTTTTTTTTTGTAAGCTGGTAATAAACAATTTTTTTTACATGGATAAACGTACGTACATACATACATATCTACATATGTGTGTGAATGTGTGTGTGAGTGTATTTCAAATTCATAATAAATCGTTATAAATAATTATAATAATAATAATAATAATAGTATCAATAATATTTAAAATTAAAAATTTATAATAAAAACTTTACGATAAAAAATAATGGCAATAAAATGTTGCCAACCTGATTAAAAAAAAAAAAATTTTGTTTGAATATTTTTGTCGTAATGTTATGTTTTTTACTTAAATTTTATTTACTTCTTTTGTTAATAAAAAAATCTTTAACAACACGTGCGCAACACGTGGGTTGTCGTTAAATAATTATTATTAATTTTTCTTTTTTTTTTTTTTTTTAATTTTGCATTTAAAAACGATTTTATATATATATATGGATAAACAATTATCTATTGTTTATAATTTTTTTTTAAATAATTAACAATCCAAAAACTTTTATACTATTTTTATAAAACTTTTTTTTTTTTTTTAAATATTTATTATTATTATTATTAATAATATTTTCAAGCGGATTACAAAAAAAAAAAAAATTTTTTCGTTCGGGCTAATTTATTACTCGAATTATTATTATTTTCTAATTTTTTTTTTTTTGTTTTTTTTTTCTTTTCTCACAAAACACGTTATTTATTTAAATTGCAAATTTTAATTACTATTATTATTATTATTATTATTATTATTATCATTATTAGTACTTTTTTTTATTTTTTTCATTTTAAGATTCGATAAATTTAAAAAAAAAAAAAAAAAATTTTAATTTAATTTTTTTTTTTTTTTTTTTTTTTCTAGTTTTTACTTTTTTCAACAATGAAGATTCAAATATAAGGGGATGATTATGAACGCGACGACGACGACGACGACGGTGACGATGATGGTGACGATGATTTTGAACGTGATAATAAAAATTATTATTATTATGACCGTGACGTGAACGATGGTGATGACGGTGATGATGATGGTGATGGTGATGTTGACGACGACAAACACGGGAAAACGACATCACGATGAATGTGAATTTTGATTTTATCATGGCGGCCGACGACGACGACGACGACGACGACGATGATAACAAAACGACGATACAAATTAATAAGATCTTCTTTTCTTCTTTTATGGACTAAAATTTTGGAATCATTCTATAGACGCGTAGGAAAACATCGATAACGAATAAACAAAGTCGTCGAGCCTGTGACGATCTCATTATAACACCTCTTAATACGAACATGAGGCTACAAATTTGAACTAATCGATGAATCCAATACAACCTGAAAAAACAAATCAAACAAATCAATAATTGAATGGGAAGGAAGTGAAGTGTGCGGACCCCCAAAAAAAAGGAAAAAGGAAAATATTTTTACTTTTGTATGCTTTTCCTTGCCGTTGGAATCGACGAAGGATTTTCTTTGAATATGAATCTTCGGATTCCTAAAACGTAATCTTGAAGATACTTGGGCCAATCGATTTGACTCACGTCGAACGGAAACGTTTTCCTATCTTCCGGCGACAAAATCGAATTCAATTCTTGAACGTTGTCATCTCTAAATCTCCATTCTTGATTACCGAAATATTCTAAACACTGTCTCGCCTTTTCTAATTTCTGATACATTTTAACCATTCTGCGAATAATACGATTAAGGTATGAAACCTTTTTTTTTTTTTTTTTTTTTTTTTTGTAAAACAATGCGAATCGTACGATTACTTACATTGGTTTTTTTCCCACAAGCCTATAAAACGTATCTAGAAAATAAGCTGGAAAAGCGTGTGATGACAAAACGACGAGTTTGTGCATCAATCTATTACTGAAACAATCTCCTCCCGGATACCAGAAAGCACCGCTCAGGGGATTTTTTTGAAGATTGTGAATGCATTGGTAAATGAAAGATCCCCACGTTATCGGTTTTTGCATGCCGGTACAACAATTGTAAACACTTACTTCTATAGATCTACGTATGTGGGGAAAAAAAGGTACTTTAGTTTTACGTAATAGTTAGTGATAAAGAATAGATAGATAGATAATAATAATAATAATTGAATTGCCACTCACTTTGAAGTGGCAGTTTTCCAGGCTGCGACGATCATCAAATTGATAACAACGTCAACGGGAACTAAATCCGCGACGCTGTTCACTTCGCAGAGCATCGCTCTAAACAAACCCTTACCGCAAGCTGCCACGAGTCCAGTCGGTCCGTTCCAGTTGTCGACCCATCCGGAAACGGGTTCGTTCCAAGAAGATAAAACTATATGAAAATGAAAACAATTCAAGGGAGAAGATAAGTTTATTTTCCTTATCTATGCGAGATAACGAGTGAAAATTCAATTTCGATTGATGATTACCTATCGTAGGTCGGACGATGGCAACAGGTAAATTGCCACTTTCCTTCATCAACATGTTTTCTGCCAACGCTTTCGTGAACGTGTACGTGTTGGGTCTTTTTCCGATGAGTTTTGGAGTGATGACGTCGACCAAATCCTCGTTCATCCATTCGACGCATTCTATGACTTTTTCCGGATCGTACGGAGGAGGATAAATGATTTCTCTCACTTCTCCCCTGTCGCAATTACAATACGCCGTAGAAACGTGTATGAGAGCCTGTAAGCCAAATATTATTATTATTATTTTTTTCCTTTTGTTTTCTTTCTCCACGTCACGGTTTTCGGGTGACCGAAAGAACTCACCTCGAGGCCTAACATTCTGTGACACAGTTCTACCAATCTTTTAGTTCCCAACATGTTGATCGTGACGGAAAGTTTGAGAGCTTCGTCGAATTTAACCGTGGCGGCAGAATGAAAAACGACCGATACCGTTTTTATGAGAAGATTTTGATCGGATTGAGAAATACCTAATTCAGGTTCCGTTATATCTCCCATTATGGGTACTATTTTATGAAGTTCTGCCGGACGTTCTTTACGGAGTTTATCAAATAACTAAAAAAGGTACGAGAAAAAATATTAACATTATCATTATCACTAGAATTTATTTAAAAAGAAAATGTTTATACTCACCGGTGAATCAATTATTTCTCCCAATCGAGCATGTATATCTTGACCTCTTTTCGGCCTGATCAAAAGATATATTTTCTTTATACCTGGACAAGACCTGAGCAATTTTTCAACGAGAACTTTTCCCATGAATCCCGTTCCACCCGTGACGAACACGGAACGGTCGTGATAAAAATCAGCGACGGGACTAAAATTTGGGGTAAAATTTTGCTGTGCGAGAGTCGCCATGGCAGTGTATTATTTAATATAAATAATAATTTTTAAAAAAAAAATTTACAATAATTAATAACTCTATATATATATATAAAAAAAAACTGTATTTATATATAATAACTGATTTCTTCGATTTTTTTTTTTTTTATTTTTTTTTTTCGGACTAGATAATGTCTTTGACTCTGTGTCTTATCTGAAACGCAAAAAAGAAAAAAAAAAACTTGATTAACTACAATGTATTAAACTTAAAAATCCAAGAGAAAAGATATTTTAAGATGTGTAAGGTTAGTTAACTGTGTTAACTCCTCCCACCATTTTTTTTTTTACAGAGATTACGATTTCGTCGATACGTGATATCATCATCGAGAACTTATCAAAGGAGAACGACACAACTGTCTACTCTTAAGAAACCAATTACTACCTTTGAAGGTTAAAAAGAACAAAAAAAACACAAAGTGTGTCGTTCATCAATAGGAATAGGAAAAAGAAAAAGGAAAAAAGAAAAAAAAAGTCTTCGAGTTGTTCTAGGTCAAAAAAAAAAAAAAAATGCACGCATGTGATGATGATATGCATCATACGAAAACCGTAAAGTAAACCAGAGAGCGTCATAAACAAAGTCAACAACATCGCAATTTTACATGCTTACCATACGATCTTCACCACCTCCCCCCATCCATTTCCGGGGAGGTTTTTTTTTTTTGTGTGGAAAATAAATAACGAATGGATACCCGGACCGTAACTAGGACCCGCGAAGAGACCTGACAAAACGACCAATCATCGTAAGCCACGTCATCATCGGAGACCAATGACCTACCTCACACGAGTCAATTTATAAAAAGAATATTATTATAACCGTCGGATAATGAAACAACTCTTTATTATTTCAAACGTTGTTTGTTCGTTTGTTGCTCTTGAAACATTGCAACGCACCTGACTCTGACCTAGATTTCGGTCACTGTGTCACGACGTTTTTGGTCACTTTCACGCCGGGTCACCTTTGACGGCCCACTATTATTATTATTATTATACTCATTTAAAAACCGGTTAACGTTTTTTTTCTACTCGATCGTTTTCTGTCATAAAAAATCACGCGTACGTACGTTGAACGTTTCGTTGTTTTTGTTTTTATTATTTTCTAACCGACTCATGTTTTAATTTTTTTTTTTTTTTATTGCAGATCAGTATCAGGGAATGATTGCAACAAAACTTTTCATCGAAAGGAACAAATCATTAACCGGAAACGACCTTAAATTCGTTAAACTTTAACTAAAGGAGAAAAAATTTCCATAGAGTATAAACGAAAACCCGGAATCAGAAAGAAAAGAAAAAAACAAACTCAGGTAATAAATAATCCTAAACTGAAATCGTGATTTTTCGTTTGTTTGTTTGTATCATCCGATTAATTTGATTGCTGACCCGACAAAAAAAAAAAAAAAAAATTACCCTTTTTTAATCAAAAATTCACTTTACAAAAAAAAAAAAAAAAAAAAAAAAAAAAACTTTAGCGTTTTCCCATTTTTCTCATTCCCCCCTTCGGAGGAGAGTAGGAGGACGACAAAAACAAACAAACAAAAAAATGATAATTTGATTAAAAAAAAAAAAAAAAAACCTTACCTCACTCACACACGCGAATACTACAACCATATCACACAACAAACAAAATTTGTTTAATGATAATTTTCAGGTCATCAATTGTTTTATATATATTCGAATGAGTTATTGGGAAAAAAAAAAAAAAAAAAAAAAAATCTTTAACTTTTATAATATTTTTTCACAAATCAAATCTTATCTCAACATTGGATTTCCCTAATTATTACATTTTTTTTTTTTTTTTTTTTTTTTTTTAGATAATCTGAAGCGAACGACGACGACAACAAACAAACAAACAAACAAAAATGTAGAAAAATATTCAACGGTAACAAACAAACAACGTGAGATTTATCTGGTCAGAATATTATGGAAAAACAATAACGACGTCATCGCCCTGTCCGGACTCGAAAAAAACGAATTTCCGCGGTAAGTTTAAAAATTTTCATTTGTTTTCTTTTTTCTTGCTTTTCCGACATGAAAAAAAAAGAAAAACGTTGACGAGGAAAATTCAAAAAAAAATGCGTTCGAACGATTTAAACTGTTACAACATATGTAATAGTCTAAATTTAATTAATAAGGCATTTTTTTTTTAAATTTGTTTTTTAAACCGAACGTTCGTTTCCGTATGCAAAAAAAAAAATAAATAAATAAATAAACAAACGAACGAACGAATTCGTCACGTTGTAATTATCATTATTATTATTATTATTACTTTTTTTTCTTAACGTAACGTATAACGTTGAACAAAAAAATTTTTAAGTTCGCGTTTAAAAAATTCATTGTTTTGAAGGGGTGAGGAGGGGGGGTAGGGGGAGAAAAAACGAAAGTAAAATTCGCGTACGAAAACGCCACATTTTTTTTGTCTTGGGGGGGAAGGG